GTGCAATTGATAAAGGATGTACAGGGAAATAAAAACCCAGGAAGTCTGAAGTTTAATCCTTTGAATAATCTGGGGACAAGAAGAAAACCTGGGGATAAAAATACGGGATAGGATGTAGAAGGCACACTGCACTGAGTGGAAGGATATTTATTTAATGCAGGGTTAGTCAATGCTGGTCAGAGGAATTCTAATAAAAATTTACCTCAGACAAAATCAGCAACAAAGCATGCTGAGATTGTTCTTCCGGAGGGACACTGTGCTGAATGAGCTGAGGAGTGTGGAGGTGCGGAGGACAGCTACTAACAACTGTGACACGGGGATGGAATGGAGTTTAGGAGGTGTACAGAGAGGCAAGGTTTTCAAGGTTTGCTAGAGAATGGATGAGCAGAGTGGGAGTATGAGAAAGGGATGCACTTTCAGGTTCCTGGGTTAGACAACTCATTTATGGTAGTAGCAGTTACTAAGAAAAATGAGCAAGACAAGAGCTGTTTGGTTTAGCTTGTGGATTCGTTTGAAGCAAGTTGGAGAACACTGGGTTGAAGATAGCTATGAGCCCACTGCGTGGTGATCCCTATGGCAAGCATGATGGTGTGACGGTGATCTCAGTGAGCAGCCTGGTATGGAGACAGAGTTGTGGGGGGGGTAATAAGACACGTAAGCCAGGAGAGGCCCCAGTGGCATCTTAAATGTGTGAGGAGCCCAAGATCTTAGCTAATGCTCCTTATAGACCAAAGCTAAGTCCTCACACTGCAGGGGATGGAGGGGGCATAGCAAGGGTAAGTTACAGTAAAGTCCGAGTTCGGAGGGACTTGGAGAGGCAGAAGAGTCAATGCCACCCGGGCAGCTTCATAGGAAGCAGTTAGTGTTGAGGCTTCTTCGTGATTCTTCATGATGACCCTACAGTACTGCTTCCCAGTGGGTCAGTCGGTGGAAATGTGCCCATTCAGCTATCTTCTGGTTTTTTTTCCAGTTCCTGCCTCTAAATTACCTCCTTTGGGCTCTTACCACTTGTAAAACTTAGCCCTTCCAGACAGCCCTTTGAAGAACACAGTATTTCCCTGGGTGATGGGGCCTGGGTGTTACGGATTGCAGTTCTCCATCAAATGGTCATGATAATGGCTGTGCTCAGTCAGCAGCCCCTGGTAGAGGAGAATATGCAAAGAACGTTCATGACAGACTCTTCTCAGAGCAAGTAATAGAGTTCCTGAGAGGAGAAACTCCTCTCAGAAAAGGCATTGTTCCCAAATTCCCACTATTACCACCAAAACAGCAATCAAATTTCAATGTCATTTACAAAGGGAACACATCATAGTTACACTGTGAAAGATGTTTTTGAGTTTGTCTTCTTTTGAGGTTAAAGAAAATGAAGTAATATCCACTTACAAGTAAGTATATACCACGTGTGTCTTTCTGCTTCTAGAATACAATTTCTCCATCCATTCCTTTGTTGAGGGAAATCTAGGTTGTTTCCAGATTCTGGCTATTATGAATAAAGCTGCTATGAACATGGTTGAACAAATGTGCTTGTTGTGTACTTGAGTATATTTTGTACATATGCCTAGGAGTGGTATAGCTGGATCTTGAGGTAACACTATTCCTAATTTTCTGGAAAAGCACCAGATTGATTTCCAAAGAGATTGTACAAGTTTACATTTCTATAATATAGGATAATCATACTAAAATCTGTACACCTAAAGAAGCTAAACAAGAAAGAGCAGCCTGGGTAAGAGGATCAATCCTCATTCAGAATGGCAAACAGGACAGATATCAGAAGAGGGAGAAAACAGGGAACAGGACAGGAGCCTACCACAGAGGGCCTCTGAAAGACTCTACCCAGCATGGTATCAAAACACATGCTGAGACTCATAGCCAAACTTTGGGCAGAGTGCAGGGAATCTTATGAAAGAAGCGGGAGATAGGAAGACCTGGAGGGGACAGGAGCTCCACAAGGAGAGCAACAGAACCAAAAAATCTGGGCCCAGGGGTCTTCTCTGAAACTGATACTCCAACCAAGGACCATGCACGGAGATAACCTAGAACCCCTGCACAGATGTAGCCCATGGAAGCTCAGCCTCCAAGAGGGGTTCCCTAATAAGGGGAACAGGGACTGTCTCTGACATGAACTCAGTGGTTGGCTCTTTTATCTCCTCCCCCTGAGGGGGGAGCAGCCTTACCAGGCCACAGAAGAAGACAAGGCAGTCAGTCCTGAGGAGATGAGGGAGGAAGGGTCGGATTGGGAGGGGCTGAGGGAGGGGGCTACAGTTAGGATACAAAGTGAATAAATTGTAATTAATTAAAAATTAATTAATTAAAAAAAGAAAGAAAATGAAATAGAAAGATGTTTTGCATACCTGATCACAGACAGCATGCTGAGCACAGATACTGAGGGCTATATTTCTGATATCATCACTTAAGTGCCCATGTCTGGTGTATGTCACAGCTTAGCCTGTGTTCAGACATCTGTCTTTGCTTTACTTGTTTGTCTCATTATTTTCTGAAGAGGTGAAAATGGAAGTCATTGTCAATGTTGGTGACACATTCTTGACATGTTTTTAAACACAGTGTAACACTACTGAAGCTGTTAAAACATAACAGCTAGTAATTTTATATTGTCCAGAACAAAATTTTCTTTATATAAAAAATATAAATTTACACTTCAAGAAAATTTCCAATAGGAATACTCTAGTCTTTTGCATGAATCGTACATGAACATTTCAAATTTAAGCATACCTTCATTGGCATATAATTTTAATTTTCCACCAGTACCTGGAAAAAATAAGACATTTTCCAATGGAATAGAAAGTAAATTTGCAATATATTTTCCCTCCGAGAGGAACAAATTTACTAAAATATTTTTGAGGTTATGATTACATCATTTCCCCTTCTGTTCTTCCCTTCTAAACCAGTGGTTCTCAAACCTCCTGATGCTGTGAGCTTTTAATACAGTTCCTCACGTTGTAGGGACCCCAACCAAGAAATTATTTCATTGCCACTTCATAACTGTAATTTTGCTACTGTTTTGAATCATAATGTAAAGAGCTGAAATGCTGTATATATGATAAGTGACCCTTGTGGAAGAGCTGTTCAGTCCCCAAAGGGATCTCAATCCACAAGTTGAGAACTGCTCCTCTGAACCCTCCCCATTTACAACCTCCCACCCAGACCTGTTCTTTGCTGCCTGTAGTTCTTTGTCTAGAGTTGAGGCCTCATGAACATTCACCCTTTCCATTAGCCTGTGTATTCACTATCCTCTGCTCATGTTTGGGCAGCCTTGTTGGTGAGATTTTTATGGGTGTAGCCCCTCTGACATTTGTAACAGACACAATCTCATAGCAAAATCCCTGCCATTCTGGCTTAGTTTTTTGTTTTTTGTTTTGTTTTTTTTTTTTTTCAGAATAATACTAGAAGATTTTTTTCTTTTAATTCATGATTGAATTGTTATTCATACTTTATATTCATATATGCATGATGAAGGGGTTCCACATCCTTTTTAAAGTACCTCTTTATGGTCTGAATTGCTCAAGAGAAACATCCAAGGAATAAGAGGAGGAACAATTGTCAAGTCTCATAGTGAAATTTGCATTAATATCTAGTAATCATTCTCTTAAATCTTATTGACAAAAATTGTCCACAAGGCTGTAGGAGGATTACATCTTACTTTATTCAGGCTTCTGTAGTAAATAACATGAACTGGGAGGCTTCTATACAGAAGATATTTAGCTCTCATAGCCATGGTGTTTGGGAAGTCCAGGACCCAGCCATAACTGACTGAAATCATGAAGTCTTCTCAAAGATCCCACTGCCTAATCCATTATTAACATGAGATTTGGGATTTTGACATTTAAATTTAGATCACAAAGGGAAAGGGGTTCAAATATTCAGACTGGCAATGTGGAAGGAATATGCTTAACACCTTTTATAACAGATCAATATTGTTATTTAATACAGTAGAATTATTTGATATTAAATATTGGTATATAAAAGATAATGCTGCATTGTCTCAAAATTAAAAATTAATAAGAAAATTATTTCATTTAAAATATAAACCAAGCCAAATTATCATTCCACTGAAGGAATAATAAAGACGTTTTCAAACATAGATCTCCTAAAATTTATCACACACACACACACACACACACAAATACAGGAACACATACAATGACACAGAGGAAATTTGTGACACCTAACAAGGGAGAGGTGGTCAAGAGAAACGGGAAACAGGAGAGAAACAATTGGAAATTTACAGGGAGATGAGATACCAGGGTTATTTCTAAACATAGGCCTGGCCCCAGTGGGAGAAGGATAAAAGTGCACGGGTCGGGCAGAGCAATGATGCTATACGCACTCTATACTTCAGAGACAGTTCAAGAAAACAAGATGCTAGTGCTCGGAGGAGAAAAAGGTGACTGGCACCTCTGTAATGGGTTATGAGGCTTAAAGCTCAGATGGCCAGGCAGCTGTTTGCAGATTCTGTCAGGATGTGGCTGGGGGAGCCGGAAAGGGGGTCTTGTCTTCCTCCAAAAGCAAGTCCTGCCCCTGACATAGTTGACATACACATAACTCAGCGGGAGGATGCTAGCAGAACAGAAGATACACTAAGGGGAAAGGGAATAAGTAGTGAGAGGGAAAGAAGGGTAAGGCAGAGAAGGTAGGGAGATTGATAAGAACTTTTGAAAAGGCCACACAGAAATGTGTGTGTACAAGTGTCATAAATGTTACCCAAAATATGAGGTCATGTTCCTCTCGGAAGCAGATAGCCTAATAAAAACCCCAGTTAGTGGTGACCCAGAGACACCCCCCCAAAACAATAGAAGGTTTTTCCATTGCTCTTGGTTGATACTGTGTAGACTTTTCCTAGGGAGACATGGCACACACACACACACACACACACACACACACACACACACACACACAGAGAGAGAGAGAGAGAGAGAGAGAGAGAGAGAGAGAGAGAGAGAGAAGTAACACACAGCTACTCATTTTAGAAAATGAGTCCATGATAGACCAAAGTAATGACTGCACCTATATCTAATTTGGTGAATCAGTGAGTTTTATCAGGAACATATGGGTGAAAGGCTATTTACAGGAGAAGAAATTACACAAAGCCAGCTACATAAAGACAGTTCTCACTGGTGACAGCTCACAAAATCTGGAAACCCGGCGCACAGTGCACAGTGCACAGGCAGCTCAATGTGTTGGAGAGTCTTTCCAGGTGGATCCATTGGTCTGAGCCTCCTCCTGGCAGTCCGGCTGGCACTGGCTTCTTCAAGGTTGCTTGGCTGGTTGTCTTGAGAGTGAGTCTTGGTAGTCTTGTTAGTTTATATACGCTGAGGAGAAAGGGATCTAGTGAATCTGGTTAGTTCAAGGAACTCTGTGCAGCTACTTGAACTGTTTGCTTCCTATCTCAACAGAACTTCCTTATGAGATAGACCGTTTTATCTCCACTTAGAATCCTGTTGATTTACCTCCTCCAAATAGCGTATCCTAAAACGTCCTTTTTTTCACTTTTCTTTTATTATTATTTTTTTTTTCTTAGGCGGTTTCCCTACAAGATGGAAGGCTTTATTTAACTTTGGGGAAACTGCTGCCCAGTAGTTGTCCACCAGAAACTGGTGTATGCCCTATTGTCGAAGACACTGTACGGATTTGTCACAGCACACAGGAAAATAAGTTGATAGAGACCAGGAAGTTTTCTCCCTGCTTGTTAGGTCTCATAGTAAGAGAAGGTTGCGTGTAAGCTTCTTCAGGGGAAGACAAATCCTCAGTAGTCTACCCAGCTATGAACCCTGAGCACTACCACAGTGCTGCCGCAGCAAGATATGTCCATAGGTACAATTGCAGGAGAAATATTATGCAGATGACAAGGTGTTTCTTGATTGGAGTGAAGGCCTGTTCCACATGCAGAAATGTATGCCGGGTATTATATATCTGGATATCTGGCTAAGACCCTGTGACTAGGAAGCTCATAGGCCACAAGAATGAATCTATTACCATTTTTTAAAAAATTATATAGTATCAAGCTGCCCTCCAAATTCCTATTTCTATGCCCATAGTTTAGTGCAGCTCTCAGATTTCACCAGAGAAATGTGTTTGATCGGGGGACAGTCATTAACTGAGGAATTCTCAATCACATGCAGAGGTTAAGTGTCAGTGAGGTACTCAGCCATAAGTGGGATACTTTCATTTTAAAAGGTCAGGGAGGACCTTGGCAAACTGTGTTTTCTGCATTTGTGAACCTAACAGCAGCGCCGTCCTGGGCAAGACTGGGCCAGCAACCTTTAAGCGTGAAGGGAGCAAAGTGCTTTTGAGAACCCCTGGTTGATAGTTGCTACAGGAAGGAAAAGTCAGTCTTCCTTATGGTGTAGACCTGTGGGTCTACCATATTCAAGTGGGTAGATCCTTACCCTTGAGTATATGCACAGCACAAGTTTAACTCTGTAAGCTATTTTTAAAAAGGATAACATGAAGTTGGTAAAGGGATGGAGAAGTTTGGAGAAGATCTAGGAAGAGTTATGGGAAAGACTAGTTAGTGAATATTGTCAAAATATATTGTATACAGGAATGGAATTCCCAAATAATGGATGTAAATGTGTTAAAAGTATCACTAGTCTGTCATCCAGGTATTCATTGAAATATTTAGACAGGAAAGTGAGTGACATAATCAGTTTTAAATTATAACATTCTCTCCAGGGTGAAAAATAGATAGAAAGAAGTAAGAGCAGAAAACATGAAATTATTTAGAACTCTATGATACTGCAGCAAAGCCATTATAATTAATCTAAAATTCCATTAGTTAATATAGGAATGATCAAAGAGGCGAGGACATAATACAACCATATGAAACTAAGTAGAACTGATATAAACATGGAGAGGCAAGGTAAGAGGGAATAGCTCTCAGATTTCTAGATGACTGTGTTGATGGTAGTCTACCACTCAAATACAAATACAGGCTGACAATGAGAAGACCTGACACCTAGTTATGGTGGGAGGTGAAGACATCCACTTTGGACATGGCAAATCCTGAGGGAGTTGTCTAAGAGGCAGCAGAATATGTGGTTTGTCATTCAAAGGGAGAGAAATATGTGTTTTGGTATCCTAAATAAAACGAGTAGAAAAGAGATCCCTATAAAGTAGGAAGAGCAAGCTGGAGTGAAAGTACAGCAGCTTATGAGCAAACTCCTGGTGTTCAAACACTAAAGTAACTGAAGCTTTGGAAGCATTGGCGTAGGGATCACATAATCATATTTCTTTCAAATACACAAGTAAAGTCAAGCAAAAATCCTTTCCTGTGGATGTAGCCCAAGTGCCATTCTCCTAAAAAGGGCAGAACGATAGCTCCAGAGAAGTCCAGAGTGAGGACGGCACAGAAAAAAAAGACTTGGTGATAGCTCCACTTGAACAATGGCTTGGCCATCTCAAAAGCAGGAGAGCCTGTGTGACACTGACTTTCCCACCATCTCTGACCGTGGCCATTACGGAGTTCCCTTTATACTCCTCGTTTCCCAATTTAGATGATTCCATTCAGCACAAAGTTCTAATGTCAACTGTAAAAACTGGGACATCGACTTTTAAACTGGACAATGTTGCAGTGGTCTTTGAAATCTCAATGGCTCTTATTTTATATCTCAGGAAGCATTCCAAAAAATGAAAGGAGTAAAAAATAGTTGCATTGAATTATGAAATCCTGTTTGGAGCTCTTTGGCAGTGTTAGACAATGAGTGTCACAAATTAGGGTCTCACTTGGTAGACTGTAATTATGCTTAAAAATTATGTTTCTAAAACCTGAGTTATTTTAGCCTTTTAATTTGTGAATTTGAATGAATGCTTTTACAATTTCTCTGTGTCTAGGCCCCGTTGTTTCCAGGATTCTCTTTCTTCCCAGCAGCTCTTTTGCAACCTTCACCTCCATCATTTTCTTATTTTAAAGGGAAGTCTGTGCTGGTACTTTGCAATTCTGAGGTTGCCTCCAGCTAAGACTGTTCTGGGAAGATAAAGAAACCAATAAACAAGACAAGAAAAAGGAAGTGACCAGTAAATCCACATGTGAGGAAATAATTGGAGATTTTATTAAAAATCCATTTGTGTGAAATGAATCCCTCTAAAATAAAAAAGTTCTGCGTTTTCTAAACTCAAACTTTAAAAAGATCAATTTCCAATAGATGAGCTCATGTTAGTTCTTCCTGGGTATACCTGTCTTTAGTTTAGTTATACTGCTTGTACTGGAAACAAACATTATCTAAACAATTTTAACTCTTATATCATTTAAATATCAGACTGTATATGGAATATCTTTTTCAGGGTAGCTACCAAACTGTATTTGAAATTTGCTATTATTTATCAGCTTGGGACAATCTCGTAAATATTTCATAAGCACACAATGAAACTACTCAAAATGTCAGAATCTATTAGAAATTGTAATAATACACGATTACATTTACTCAATAATATTCACTTGCGTGGATTAGTTAGTCAATATTCCACACTTAATTACATCCATTTGGATCAGTTTTACATAGTATGATACAAAAGCAAATTACACCCTGCTGTATGCCTACTGCCAATCTCATAACAGGAAGCCAATATAATTAAATCACTTTTTTGCCATCTTCCAACTTCAAAGTTAATTCCCCCGGTGCTATTAATTTCTCCTATAACCACAAATCAAAAAAAAATATATAAAAAGAATAAAACTTACCAATCCCAGAGCATCCAGAAAGAAAAACCTTTGTTTTGCTCATCATTTTACTTTCTGAGCCTTATGTACTGTTGAAAACACATCATGCTGCTAACGTCCTGTGTCATCCATGGCAGCCTGTAAAATTTGCCTTGGTGACAACATAGCAGAAAGAATCCTTACTTGGGGTGTGTGACCCTTTGAGCAAAAGCACTCCAAACAGCATTTGCTTCATCCTGGATGGCCTTGCTGTGGAGAATGGGAATAAAATTACCCATCATGTCACTCTGTGAATATTAAGGGAAGCACATGAGGAAAGCTCTGTGCCCGTCCACATGACAAAAATCACACTAGAGAAAGCAATAGCTGCAAGCAATTCAGACCTCTCTATCTGTATCTGCGTTTCTCTTGGGTTTTTAGTCATTTTCATCAATAATGGCGCATCCTAAGCACTCCTTACTCACAGATCCCAGAACCACAGCGTGAAGGTCCAGTTCTGCAGCATTGGCTTTGCGGAAAGCTTATGACCCTCTTAGTTTTCCAGTGCAGTCAAGGTGCTTCCTCAGCCCTTTGTCAATGACAAGGGCAGGATCAAAAACACAGCACCCTATCTCTCAGCAAAACTGAATTTTCTAAAAAGGGATCAGGGAAAAACTCTTCATGTCTCCTTGGAAATGGTCATTTTGGTTGCTTCTATGCAGAAGTTAATTGAGTTTATCATTAGGAAACTGAGTCAGTAGCTTTTTATTATTGACAATAATCGCTATTCTGTATATCATAAATAAATGAGACTCATCCATTCATATATTATGGCTCACTTTTGAATAAATATCATACCATAAAGGTACTGAGTCTTTAAAATCAGTACAGAATGTATAGCTTGTACTTGGTGATATATCATTGATGATACATGGATTTTAAAATACTGTTAAAATAATTTATTTGTTTCCTAGCCTGTGCATCTGTTGGCTTGGTTAATAATTTCATCCCCCTGTACATCAGTTGGCTGGAAAACTACTACCTTAGCTTTAGGAAGTGAAGTATTGCCTGCTTGTTCCTCTCCCTTATGGCTGCAGGCTACACTGTAATTCTCATTTGTCCTACTTTGCTCTGGACATATTTTTTAAGTGTCAGAATGTTCTGCATATTTACATGGCAATATATATCTGGAATGTAGAGGTTATTCAAGGTCCTTAAAATAGAGTAATGATAAGGAGGAGATTGACAAAAGTGAGAAAGAGGTCCAATCCAGTGGAAAAACGTGTTCTCAGTGCCCTCTTCCATAAGAAAAGGCATCATTTTGCACTGTTCTTCTGTCCACTTCAGTCAGTAGTCATTTGTGTCTCCATAGAACTTCTTTTTCACTGGCTTGACTATCATAAGAACACAAAGCTAATTAGTAACATAGCCCAGAGGCAACCCAAAGGATTCCACTTCATTTCTATGTCTAACGAAGCCGGCCTCCAAAGCAGATTTACTCACGTCTGTATCTCCTATGCCCAAGGAGCAAAGATTTATTCTGTAAGGACCCACCTTCATTCAGTGCCTTGTATCAAGGGAATAGGAATGAGACAGCCTTGGATTCAGAGACCAGCTCTGGCACTTACCAGAAACCACTCCTGAGATCATGTCATGGTTTGGAAGGCAACAGGATTTCCTGGGTTGAATACAGAAACAGGAATCGTGAGTCCTGCTTTTTCTGCACTTGTTCTAGTACTTATTTAGTAAGTAACCTTGAGCAAACCGCTTTCTTCCTCTTCTCCCTATTAAAGAAAAAGAATTGATTTTGTGGTCATACCTCACAAAGATGTAATGAAGACGAGTAGCATACGGTTACAGCAGCTTCAGAAAAGAACTCTGCAGAGCACATAATTAGTTCTATAATCTGTAAGTCTGGATTGTTCACAGATGCCTACGGTGGAAGTAAACATGCAGGAACTAGCTTTTATTTTTCCCTCTCTAAGAAGAGGAAATAATTTAGCTCTACCCCAGCTCACATCAATATAGGTGGTTACCTAGGGAACCCCTGCACTATGTTATGGAAGAAATGATGCATATGGTGGCCTTAACACCATAGATATTGAGGAAATGATTAAAAGCGATCAAACAGCCAAAGACTTCACATAGCTGTGCAAACCATTTTTTGATAACAAAGAAAAGAAGTCTGATCAAAAGTGATTTGAGGTGGTATTTAAGTTCATAACCCAATTCTGGATATGGAGATGTCATAATGTAAAATTAAAAGCTAAAACCCCTGAGAATCCATATTATCAAGACTCCATGTGGGCTTTCCTAATCTCCATCTCTCGGCTACACAATAAGTGAGTAAGAAATGGATCCTGAGTAGCTGAGATCCAAATGCAAGTGTGGACTGTGGACCCACCGGATCAATGCACTGGTCTCTCCAGGGAACTAGGGGGCCTTGGCTTTTGTGGCCCAAACTCACCTGATTCTGCCTGCAGGGTATCTGCACCAGAGAAAAGCTATTCTACACAAAATCCCTTTGTAAGCTTTCTGTACCTTTGCAGATTTTCACAAGAATGGGACAGGGATCACTGTAGAAGCACATGGTGTTCAGTTAGTTGAAACACTGAGGGCATGTGTACAAATCTTTCTGGCTACTTAGATCTACTGTCTGGGTCAAGCTCCTGCTCTGGCCTGTTTCCACACTCTGCTGCCAGGCTCAGCTCTTTTCAGTTAGGCTGCTATGATCATGAGAACAGTGAGAGCCTTGCGTGTGTGAGCTATAGACACCACTTAGCTCCCTACTTGGCACAAAAGCTCCTGAACTTCACATCAACTGTTGGTGATTTTAAAGGACTGGTCTCATTATGTGTGTTCACTTACGTGCTTGCCTTTTTCACTTTCTTCACTCATCATTTTGGAGGAAACACTATTCCCCACCACATCCACATCATAGTTGCCAATCTCTACCTGCTACTGTCCCCTACAATTGAACCCAATTGTTTATAGAGTCAAGACCAAGCAGATTCGGGAAAGCGTGATCAAGTTTTTTGGGGGAGAGAAGAGTGGCCTTACTGAAATGAAAGTATTAAAAAAACAAATAAATCTCTTGGAGTGTGAAAAATAGTGAATAATTTCACAAAATGTGCACGTGAATGATATCAGTTCATCTAGCTGTGTCCATTTCAATAGACTGGGGTAATAGAAAACAGTGAAGAAGAAATTCATAACAAATGTAAATAAGATGATTTTAAGTCAATCTTATTTGTAAAATCTCTGAAATTTTAGGATATGACATTTTCCTTGAGAGAAAAAAAATATTACAAAAAGCATAGTTAAGCAGATAAGGAGTTTATGTATGGCAGAGCTTATTTTTCATAGTATTTATAGCCTCGTATTTGTATTGTGTTTGAAGAGGAGGGTGTCATAGTATTGTACAGTCAAACATCCTGTCCACTAATGACAACCTATTATTGCTATGATAACAACTGGGCCACGTGTCATAATATTTTCAAACTTATGTTTTTGATACACTAGAAATCTCCCATTTGAATGGCTAATTTTATTAAATGTAGCCTATATTTCACACACACAGAAAGACCTATTCCTCCCTTCTCGTAACTTTCTTACCCCAGTGGTTGCTGGCTGGAGGAAAAAGTATCCTCTAATTCCAGGTAGTCAATAGGTCCTACCTCAGCTGAGGTCTTTGGTCCATGTTCCCTGCATATGAGGCTTGCTGGTCTTTACTGTCTTTGACTGAGAACTGGTAGGCCCAGCCATTTTTTTCTAACTTGCTGAACCAATGAGTGTAATTGGAGTTACAGGAATGTGGGGGAGGGGTCACTTACAAAAGCAAGAAAACAGCTGCATCACCAAAGCACTGGTGACAGCTCACAAAAGCTGGGGACCTGGAGCTCACAGCACAGCCTGCAGGCAGCTCAACAGGTTGGAGAGTGTCTTTTCCCAGTAGCTCAGCTGAGCCTTTTCTGGGAAGCTGAGCTGGTCTCCATCTTCGAAATCAGGTCTTCAGGACTGCAATGTCATGTGACAAGAACCCTCACCTGTTCAGCCACCCTGCAGTACCAGAGCAATACAATTTTCATCTTAAGGAGAAATGTTCTTGAATGACTCAACAGCCTTTGCAACTTTATTTGTGTCTCGTTATACCTCGATACAATTTTGCTGCAAATGCTATAGAATTTCTCATTTTGTTTCTGATAATTAAACAAATAAATACACTTCTGGGAAAGCTTTTGTTGTCTTGAATTCTTCAGATATATGTATTAAAATAGCTTCCATTTCTCAATTTAAGTTGCCCAGGTTTAATGCAATGTCTGAGTTTGGTGGGATTGGATGTTGTTTGTCCTTTGATTGCTTTCTCAGACAATTAGGAATAGCACTTCCTCAAGATCCAGTTATACCACTCCTAGGCATATATCCAAAATATGCTCAAGTATACAACAAGGACATTTGCTCAATTGTTGGTATAATGTTCTTTTGGAATGTATACACTTTATCCTTGTTCATTCAAATGCTGATTTCTCTCCCCCACTCTCTGGTTTCAATCCGACATTGCATTGTGATGCTTATTCTAAGCATCACCTCTCTCAACTTTGTGTAAACATGCCAAAATAAATCAACTAGCCACAATGTTGAGCAAGGGAAAGGAAGCAGGAAGAGAGGGAAGAGCCAGAGGACAGGAAGGTAGAAGGCAGAGAAGGAGGGAGGGGGGCAGGAGAGAGCTGGGAGAGCAAGGCTGGAGGAGTGATCTTGGAACGACATGGAAAGATGGACTGGACCTAATATATCACTAAAAGCAAGTATAATGTGGGAAATATAAATGTTAGGAAACTATGAGGGCCTGGAGGTTTAGGGTGGAGTATCTATTGCCCAGCATTGTGAGCTAGTTTAACTAAATAAATCATAGCCTATGTGTGGTGATTTGGTTATACAGCTGTTTAGGATTAACAGCAGCATTAATAAAAGATAAACCAATAGGAAATATTAATCACAGCTTACAACACTCAAACATGTTCATAGCAGCTTTATTCGTAATAGGCAGAATCTGAAAACAACCCAGATTGAAATTGAGTTACATTTACACAATGGAATACTACTAAGGCAATTAAAAATAAGGAAGTCCTGAAATTTGTAGGCAAATGGTAGAAACTAGAAGAGATCATCCTGAGTGAGGTATCCCAGAAGCAGAAAGACACACATGGCACATACTCACTTATAAGTGGATATTAGACATTTAATATAGGATAGATATACTATAATCTCTACACCTAAAGAAGCTAAGCAAGAAGGAGGAGCCTGGGTAAGATGCCTAATCCTCATTCAGAAAGGCAAATGGGATAGACATCAAAAGAGGGAGAAAACAGGGAACAGGACAGAAGCCTACCACAGAGGGCCTCTGAAAGACTCTACCCAGCAAGGTATCAAAGCACATGCTGAGACTGATAGCCAAACTTTGGGCAGAGTGCAGGGATTGTTATAGAAGAATGGGGAGACAGAAAGACCTGGAGGGGAAAGGAGCTCCACAAGGAGAGTAACAGAACTAAAAATCTGGGCCCAGGGGTCTTTGCTGAGATTGATACTCCAACCAAGGACCATTCATGGAGATAACCTAGAAGCCCTGCACAGATATAGCTCATGGCAACTCATTCTCTAAGTGGGTTCCCTTGTAAGGGGAGCAGATACTATCTCTAACATGAACTCAGAGGCTGGCTCTTTGATCACCTTTCCCTGGTGTGGGTGCAGCCTTACCGCCACAGAGGAAGTGCAGGCAGTCCTGATGATACCTGATAGGCTAGGAGGCCCCTGTTTGATATTTGATATTTATGTGTCTTTCATGATCATTCTCCACTTCCATATTGAGGTAAAGTCTCTCAATTAGGCCCAGAGCTTGGGAACACTGCCAGTAGCTAGTCTTGCTTGCCAATTATCTCTGAAGTTTGGTGTCTCTGATTTCTGATTAACACGCTGGGACCTGCGGCATCTTCATATCTGGGGATTCAATCTCCAGTCCTCCTTCTCATGTTGCAAATGCTTAAACTACAGAGGCATCTCCTCAGCTGGCCACGGTATTTCAAAAGTGTTTCAGGGCCCATGTGCTTGCTTATCCGTATGATATATTTCCTATCTAAAGATGCTGCCTATCAACCACTCCAGATGGACAGGGAATAATGCCAAATCTTTTGGACTTTAGAGGTTAAGGCTCCAGGGAACTTTGTCTGAGAAAGGGTGACAGCGAGAAACAACTTTTTTTTTTTTTTTTAAAGATAAAGACAGTTGCAGCAAGGTCTTACTGAGTTTGAAAACTAGAACTCTTGGGATGTGGCTTAGTATTATTAAAAATTTCTTTTATTAGTTTTTTAATTAGCATTTAAAGAAATGTCTTTCATTACAATATTTTAATCATACACTATTCTGCTTGATTCTTCATTCACTCCCTTCCCTTATCCCAATGCCCTCCTATTCATTAGTCTCTTGGTCTTTTTACTTTCTCATGAATTCTCTTACATATGTTTTCTCCCCTGCTCTCTCTTCTTATCTAACAGTCTGCTTGTGACCTATTTACAGAACACGTACGTATATATGGATACATCCATAAAAGTTAATATCCAGGATTATTCATGTGGAAGAAACTATGCAGTTTTTGTCTTTCTAAATCTGGTTACTTCACTTAATACAATCTCCAGTTCTATCTATTTTTCTACAACTGTAATGATTTCACTTTTCTCTGCAGCTCGGTAAAATTCCATTGTGTATCTTTATC